TATTACACATATTGCTCACTCTATTATTCAAAAATTATAACTCGCATTTTTTTAAAAAAAAACCGTTTTTTCAGTGCGACAAAATTATAAGACAGTTTTACAAAAAATGTTTTATTTGCAAAAAAAACATTTTTTCAACCGCAGTTGTTGGCAATTAAGAATATTTATTTGATGTAAACTCCACAGACGATTATTTAACTGTAAACATTTGTGAACTGTCAAAAATTTAGTTTAGTATGTTTTTTATTAAGTATAAAATAACAAATTAATTAATAATAGGTCGTGCTCCATCGTTGAGTCCAGATGAGAAAAAAGTGGTCTCTAGCTTATTGAAAATGGGTCACTCCGTTAGTTGCATGGCTAGAGCTATTAAGCGCAGCCGAATTGTCATTAAAAACTACGTGTATAGTCCCATATGTATAAAATAAATTCCCGGACGTCCATCAATATTAAATGACAGTGATAGTCGAAGATTGTTAAGACAAGCTTCAAATTTTTTATTAACTGCACGTCAAATTGCTGCAGAGGCAGGTATGATTGCTATTTTATGTACAGTTCAGCGAGTTATTCGTAATGCTTTTTACCTATCGCGCAAAAATCTCAGCCAAAATCACCTTTGACAACAAATCAATAACTATTGCAAAGGTCCACGTAACATGGAATGAAGAATGAAAACAAGTAGTATTTTCTGACAAGAAACGATTTTGTCTTGATAGATGGAATTATTTTCACGATTTGTATGAAGAACCAGTAACAGATCAACAACATCAAATGGGTGGTGGTGGTATAATGATTTGGTTTGCGATTGGGTATCATGGTAAATCAAAAATTCATTTTATTGACGGTAAAAATGAAGGCTAAGGATTATCTTTTAATTGTTCAAGAATTTTTAAGACGTCAAGCATTTGTAATAAGTAGTAAAAATTTTGTTTTTCAGCAAGATAATGCTAGCGTTTATCCAGCTAAGATAGTAACCGAGTATTTCAACAGCAGTAAAATTGAAATATTGAAGTGGCCAGCTAGATCTCCAGACCTGAACATTATTGTGAATGGTGGGGCACAGGTGTTACATATAGTGTTTGAAGGTGGTAAACAATATAATTCACTAGCTGATTTAAAATCATCCATTGCATCTGCAATACAATACAATTGACTCTTCGTACATAAAAAATTTGTACAATTCTTTAGCTTCTAAAATGATTAAAGTGATTAAAAAAATGGTAATAGTACCCACTATTGATTGTTTAAAATTGAGACGTCTTTTTATATAAATGACAATTTATATGAATTTTTTCCAAAAGTGTGTTATAATTTTGTCGCATTAAAAAAAGTCTTTTTTTAATAAAATGCGAGTTTGGTTTGAAATAATTTTTTTTTTAATGTTGTTTAGTCTTGTAATCCTCTTGCTCTCATTTACTATAAAAATTAGTTTTTAAATATAAATGTATATTAGAGTTTTATAAATATTTTTGGGGTGTCTTATCACTATGTCGTGCAGTATATTTCCGGAAGTTAAACGGAGAGTTATAATATGCTGACACCTATTTAGGCTTTCACGCTCTGTAAAACCATGTTTGGTCAAGGAGATTAAGATTAATCTCCAGATAATCATCCTCAACAGCACTACTATAGGTTATCATTTTGATTACGCTAAATCTCAAAAATTGTTGCGTTTTGTCAATTTTTATTGCAATGACTAAAAAGCTACTCAGTCTGCTCATTTCTTTTTGTGTTTAGCTTGTCCATCTTGTGTGTTTAATATGCAGTCTTGCGTCTTGATGTTTGACTGGAATTTTAAGCCAAGCGGTACCGGTTTTGGTTTTGTGATGTTGTGTATATTATACTATTCATTCGAACCAATGAAGTTCAAATACTTTTGTCCTTTTTTCTGAAAATAAAAAAAGTAAGCCTGAAAAGTAACAGAAATAAAAGTAAAAGTACTGCATTGTAAATGTAACTCGTAACATATAAAAGTACTGCATAAAGTAACGAAGTATTGTAACGAAGTAAATGTACTTTGTTACACCCCAACCTTGATTGTGTGACTACAGAAACGTATTTATTTGTATATCAATGCTGTTTTTACAAATAAGTATTTTGTATGTATACCAAAGTTGCAACAGCAGAAATGTCTTAAGATAAAACTCTAATTTTTTTCTCAAACCTTTAGACAATCTTGTGCAAAAATAGTTGTTTGATTGGTTGATACCTGTTTTTTATAATTGAGCATCTAAAATTAATTTATTAGCCATCGCCTTACAGCCCTCATGTTGTAACTACAGAAATGTCTTTACCTGTATATTAATGTTGGGATTACAAAAATATCTTTTATATGTATACCAATCTTGTGACAATAGGAATGTCTTTAAAGTGAATGAATTAGTTTTACTCTTAAAAATAATGGCAAAGATTGTTTTTCTTATATTTCGCAAAGTTTGAAACCTAAATTGGCTATATTTAAACAGAACTACGAATATTTTAAAGACTCTTCTAAATACCTGTACAATAGTTTCTGTATTGATAAGTATATACATTTGACTAAAATATAAGTTCTCTGTATTAATCAATTTTATATTAGTTTGTAGCTTACATTTAACCCCGTATGATTTGAAATAAATCCTTTCCTATCAGAAGTCATTAAGGTGGCATATAGAAAAAAAATTGTATAGAAGATATTGCAACGGTTCATAAATATATTATTGTATTTTTGATAATGTATGAAACTCAAAATTTTATGAAAAAAACTATAAATAATTTATGTTTAAAGCAAATTTCAAAAACTCAGTGGTAATAGGAGCAAAATTGAAACAATTCAAAACACTGTATCTTTAACAATTTTGGTTGAAACCCAAAAATTTTTTGTTTATAGCTCTGTTACATTATTATCATTCATTTCTACTAAAAGAATGAAAAAATAGTTTAAACCAGAAATAGGACACAATACTCGTGTCCTGTCTCTGGTTTAAACAAATCACAAATTTATACATAAAAAAAGACAGGTGTCGTGTTATAAAAATTTATAAAATTGTTCATAGTTTTATAAATTTTAGATCATTTTAGTACATCTGTGATCTTTATGATTAAGAAACATACACTGAACATACACTTTTTTAAAAAGCTGAATTTTTTTTTTGTATGAGCCACCTTAAAAACTTACCACATGGTTTATTGCTAGTAAGTTATCATTTAACTCACAAAAAACTAATTACATTTTGTTTCCTTCAAAGTAACAAAGAAGGCTACTGCATCGATTCAACGTGAACTTTTCCTATACGACTCACAGCAAACTTCTTTCAATCAAATACCAATAAATTTATTATGAGAACGACTAGTAACCTAATTGTACCCCCTAGAAAAAAAATATCTTTTTTTCTTATTGTGGCTCTTATTTATATAAGAAATTAATTTGCTAACTACTTTCAAAAATGCTTTGTTTATTGAAAAATCGTCTAGTCTTTACTTAGGTCACTTTTTTTTAGTTTTTAGGGCGTTGCACGCTAAAGTCGGTTTTGAACCACGAAATTCTTAGTTTTAAGCCAGAACCCTAACCACTGCGCCGCGGCTTTTTTACTTATATACTTCATTTTGTGTAATCCTGCGTCAGTCAATAATAAAATTAGGATATCGCGATGCTAATTGTTCAGGTGACTTTGTTACAGGAATATCTGGTTCTTTATTTTCAGACTACAGATAATTGTGTGAATTTTAGGCTATATTAATATTCATATCAAAAGAACAATTGCTTTGAAGGTTTTAAAAACTTTAAAAACCATATTCTAAAAAAGATTAATTGTATTTATACTAAGAGAATTAATCAATTTAAATACGAAATTTAAAGGCGAAAGGGAATCAGGTTATTGATATTGCTATAATATTAACGAAAAAATATGTAGAATTATGATTTATTTGGACTTTCTTTATATCAACAATATTATTACTTGTGGTGATTTATTGTTAATATAAACAAAATGTCTAAAAACCCTTTTGACTATTATGTTACTATTTGTGTTTTAATATTTTTTTTTTCATAGAACTTACCTCATACCATCTTTACAATAGAAACAAAACTAATTCTATCAAAGAAGCTTAAAATGTCTGTATTTTTTTTTTTTTTTTAATTTAAGTTCTTTTACTTTTAGTCTTCTAGATTCTTACTTAATCAAAATCAAAATCAATCTTAATCAAAATCAATTTAAAAAAGTTCTGAAAAATATTTTGTTATAATTTTTTTCTATTACTATAATAATTATCCTTATTTTTTGTTTGTTTTTCTTTTCTCTTTTATTATTACCTACATATATGATTTTTAAAAAGTTTACTTAATGTGTGTCAATGTTTTATGTCTATATGTTTATTATTAGTCATATTATTTTGAAAAATGGTGTCACTCCTTTGATCAGACTTCTGTATGAGTGACACCATCCATACTAATCATTAACTTGTTATAATAAGAAATAACATATCATTTTACTTATTATTATTATTATTATTGCTATTATTGCTATTATTGCTATTATAATTATTATTATTACAATAATAATAATAATAAAAATGATTTTAAAATGGAAAATAAATAGCTTGTTGTTGTTGTTGTTGTTGTTGTTGTTGTTGTTGTTGTTATTCATTTTGTTATATACATTTAATTATGTTTAATATAAAAAACTTATCTAGAATTAATAAGTTTTTATTTTTGCAGTTACAAGTGTATTTATATAATTCACGCTCGAATAAACTCGCCTAATCAATATATTTATAAATATGAGTTTGAATTACTGGACAATCGTTCAATATTTTATTGTTCGTTTAAACGATAGACTTAAATTTTTTGCGGTTGTTTAGAATAAAAAAGAGATCTTTTTGATGAATAAAGGTTATGTTGGAGCTAAAATTTTGAATGATTTTAAAATTGTTGTATACAAGAAAAAGGTTTAATAAATAAAAAATGTATCATACAATTAATTTGTGTATAAGTTCAATACAAAGTTATTTGATTGGTTGATTTTTGCGTTCTTTTTATTCGGACACTTAATTGAACAAATAAAAATATTTGATCTCTTATTTGCCAAATACACCAAAACGCTAATTGGTTGTGATTTTGCCAAAATAAATCAAATATCTTTTAATTATTAGTTTTAAGTTCATCAAATATACTTTTATACGACATCACATCAATTAACGAATTGTCTGCTTCCAAGCGTGTTTCAATTTCACATAACTTTAAAACAGCGTCTGCAACTTGATAAAGTAACTCCTCCTTAAAATAGATTTTCTGCTGTATAAAATAAACAAGTACTTAACTACCATATAATAATATCTTTACAAAACCTAGCCTACCTCTGTAAAACCAAGTCTGTCTTTGTTATACACATCCAGCCATCCCTTTTTTAATGCATCTAAAATATTAACTTAAAGTTATTTAATGATACGTAAATCATTAGTAAAACCAATAAAACAAATCTTAACAACATATCAGAAATTACCATACTAGATGAAACTTAATTACTCAGTTGATACCTACCTTGATCTTTAGCTCCAAGATGTAAACGTAAGTTTTCTGCTATTTCATGAAATCTCTCGTGCTGGAGGAAAGTAAGTGAAATAAGTTAGAATAATAATGCATTATTAACACCTGATTAACACCTTATTAACTCCTACTTTTTGGAGTAACGCAAACTATCTGACAATTCGAACTATTTATACAGAAAGTAATACATAGTTGCTGATATAGTATTTATAGTTGACATAGCATTTTATTAGATATGCAAAAAATAAATTACTCTAATTGTATTTGGCAGATCAACTGATACTGTTGCTCTTAATGCAGTTCCGATACCACTCGGACATGATACCAAATATCCATAGTCACAATGATAAGCAAATTTTAAATTCTTTTGTAACAAATTAGCTTCAAGTTCAACCATTGCAGATTGAAATCTATAAAAAAAATATTGAATTTTTTTTTATGCGTTATCTTTTACCTTAATATAACATCTTCTTTTGAAATGATTCTTACTTTTTGTATGATTCCAAAAAATTTAGCTCTTCGCTGCAATACATTAAACGCAAATGGTCTTCAAAATTTATCCAAGCCAATAAACTATGCTGGGAGTTATAGAAAACGCCTCTACCACTAGGCCAGTCATGAAACGTCCCACGTGATGATAACTTGCGGTCAAAAATAATATTTGAGGCAGTTTGTAATATATCTGGTAAAGATGCTTTTACTTTGCTTGTCATATCAGTTAAATGAATGTAAGTACCTGTGTTACTTCCTAAAACATAGAGTTAAGGTCATTTAACATTAGCATATATTTTTTCAAAGAGATAAAACTTCAAATTTTAAATTTATGAATGTCATTTGTTCAAAAATTTAAAAATCAGCATTTGTACTAGAATTCCAATTAGTACTTTTATATATAATAGAAGTACTTAAAAGAAATAATAATATAGAAAAAATATATCACAACTCACTTTTTTTGAGTTGTTTTTATTTATTTTATAAGATGAAAATCTCATACTGTTGTTTATTTGTTGTTTATTTTTAAATATAATGTCTTATATTTGAATCGCTAATTTGAAAAAGGGGACATGTCCTGCAAAAATTCATATAACATGTCCCCTTTTTCAAGTTAGCGATTCATTTAACATATCATAATATTTAACATTTGTAACATCTGTATTTAATAATATTGTATTTTATCTTTTTTTATCCTTTTGTCTTTTTTTGTAATATAATCTGACGGCGAAAATCTAAACGGGATTGTTGCTAAGGCTTAATGTCTTCTATTTTCGTCCGGCCATTTTTTTTTTTTTTATTATTCAATTGCTAAAAACGGCCATTTGTTATAAATATAATTTAAGACTATTATATCTATTGATGTAAAAGACTATTTTTTATCCGTATAATATAATATTTACAATAATATTGTTTATGTTAACAATCTTATTCTATATTTATATTTCCCTACAAAATATAATAGGTTTCAAGTTTGCAAGAAGCAAGTTACCCAACCTGATTTTAAATGATAAACTAGTTGCTAAAAACGAGTCCGTAAAATGCTTAGGAACTCTTATTGATGAAAGCATATTGTGAATACCCCCAATAATATTAGGAATTGTTATTGATGAAGGCGTATTGGGTTATACCCCCGCATAAATTATATTCAATCAAAAACTATACCCCCATAAAGTTATACCCCCACACAAATTATACCTGATTAAAAATTAGTAAAACAATTGGTTTTATATACCGAATTCGTCCATGCGTAACTTCACAAATCTGGAACTAATATATACTGGCCTAATACATTTGCATTAATATTAAGGTTGAGCGAATCTGGAAAAAACCAGGTCTAGATATCTTTTTTGCTATTCCTTCGTTTTGGGTTGGTTATAACTTACATTTTAAAACATATATATATATATATATATATATATATATATATATATATATATATATATATATATATATATATATATATATATATATATATATATATATATATATATATATATATATATATATATTGTGTCTCTGGGATTTTAACTCATCGCTATTATATCTAGGTTAATAAGATGATTTGATGATCGCAACTTTTCGCAAAACAGCCAAATTTGACATCAGCTTAAATATAGAGCAAAAAAAGATGTTAACACCAATTAAAATGTTATTTCGTTTTATTTAACTAAATCACAAAACCTTGTCAGATTTCATCGATTTCTTTGATTACTTTAATTCCACATAAAAGTAATCCTTACACTTAAGTAATGTTTTTTTTTTATTTATATAAAATTTTACTATATATGCATAAAATAAATCTAACATAAAACCTAAAATAAAACTTAATTATTTTTTATCAATATAATCTATTATGCATAAAATAAATCTAACATAAAACCTAAAATAAAACTAAATTATTTTTTATTAATATAATCTATTATGATTAATTAAAAAAGATACTTAATAAAATGCGTATGTTTTACACTTTTACTCAAAACCAGTAAATTTTACTGAGTTTAAGCAGCCCGTTTGATGTCAACAGAATATCGCCTACCGCCCTAAGTTTTTAAAATTGTTTATCAACATTTATTTTAACCTTTTTTTTTTTTTTTAACTTTAAAATAATTTTGTGTCATTAAAATTTTTCTTTAATATTTGGAAAAAAAACATATAATGAAACGTTTAAAAGATAACCGCCTTCAATTAATAGCGAACCGCCTTCAATTAAATAGCTCGAACAAGCATCAAACTTAATTCTAAAAACAGTGCTTCCTTGATTTTTTTCTTTTTAAATACTTAGTGCCTAAAAACATGCTTAAATTTAATTCTAAACAATTTTGATAACTTAAATTACCTGAAATACTTTGGAATACTTAAATTACTTGAAATACTTTGTTTCTTTTTATAACAAACTAAAAAAGGGAATTCGCATTTCAACAAACCTGTTAATGCTAACAGGGCAGTCTTTAAATGCAATTCTATAACATTCCTCTCTGCTCGACTGCAAGATGCAGGGAATCTGAACCCATGCAGACATCTGGAGATCAAAAAATAAGTAGATTTCACGTACTTTGAGTCAAATTGTAATTCTAAAAAAATTGCATTTTTTTGTTATAATAAATACTAAATAATAACAGTGTTTTATCAAATGCGAAAAAACACTGTCAAAACGTTGAACTAAAATAAAAACCTTTATTTGATAAATTTATTAATTGTTTTTGCGCAGTGTAGTCTCTTCGCCTAAATTCCTCGTGCCGTTCATTAATGACAGGATCAAAAACCATATTAAAAACGTCGTAGCAGTATTCATCACCTGCCAAAATTCCACAGCCTTTTTTAGAAGGGTTATCAACTCCAATTTGAATTGTTTGATCGATTGTAAAACCTAGCGGTGTTGAGCGGTTATACATTTCCGTATAGTTTTCTTGAGTTAAATAACGAGCCATGTATGATCTATAAAACCAAAAAATTCAACATGATTAAGCATTATCTTATTATACATATATATATATATATATATATATATATATATATATATATATATATATATATATATATATATATATATATATATATATATATATATATATAATAGAAATTTATATTATTAAAGTATTATTAAATAAATTTGTAAATACTTATTGTTTGTTAGATCTGGATAATTTTCTTGAGCAGTGTATGCTATTTCATTATTTTGTGTTTGCGTTTTAACATCCTTGTAAAGTCCTTTGATGAATAAGTCATTACTTACGCAAGACTTTCTCGCTTTATTTTCGAATTGGTTACGGGGTAGATTAAATACTTTTTTGGAGAAGTACCTATTAGCGTAATACCCAATAGCAAATCCAGATATCAAACCTGCGCCGACCCATGTTGCCAAATGTCTATCCATTTGGAAATCTTCGTATTCAGCCACAAATTCTAAACTGTTTTTATAAATGCCAACTTTTTGGCAACGTTTAACAATTTGACGTCAAAAAACCTGACGTCATTAAGTATATTTATTTCTATTCTAATAGAAATAAATAAAAGATATCTGTTTAAATTCGTTCAAGTTTTTCTAAAATATACCTGTTTAAATCCTTACAACCTTTTTAAAAAGATATTTGTTTAAGTTTTTACAAGTTTAAAAGATAACTTTTTAAGATTTTGCTGTTATAACATTATTCAAATTGTCTTTGTTCCAAGATGCCGGATAAAATTTATTTCTTCTAATTTTTTAGTATGAAAGTCAACTGTATAAATAATATGTTACACATATAAAATTTTTTAGAATTTAAACAAATAAGTTGTTAAATTCACAATTATTTAATGATTTCTATAATGATTTATAAAAAGAAATGTTTATAAAATAACATAAAATAATCACGAAATAATAAAATAAAATTATTTAAATCACATGGCCGACGACACGGGTTTCGAAGTGGAAGAGCACGATACTCTATTTCGAAAAAAAAGTCTTCTATATCTAGAATTTTCTCTAAAAAAATAAAAAAAGATTCTTTAGAAAAAAAGTGAGGAGGAATGTGTCCCCCGCCCCCTGGCGTCGTCGTCCCTGAATCAAACAAAAATCACAAAATTTATGTCATATTTTATTTTTTTCAAGTTTTTATTTATGTAAAATTTCATTTGTCTGAATTAAATTCTTTCTTAAAAAATCAATCGTTGTTTACAAAGTTTTTTCAGAAATTCAACTCAATTTACACCGAAAATTTAGTAACAAGTATTTTTCTGCAAAAAATGAAGTTTATTTTGAAAATAGCTTTAAAAAAAAAAAGAATAAAAAGAAGAATGTCAACCAAAACTAAATGTGTACACAAGATTTTTCACATTTATCCATACTAAAATAACTGTTAGTTATTTTAGTATGGATAAATGTGAAAAAGTATTGGTGCGACAGAACAGCATTTGCCTTTACAAAAAGAATAAATCATGTTAATATTGGCTTCATCAACAAAGTCTTTTTCTCTGGAAATAAAATTTTCTTTTATTTCTGCATTGCTTAAACGAAAAAAAATCTTGAATTTGGCATTATTAAATATGATGCCGGTTCTTTTATAATCTTTATAGAAAATACGCATTTCGGAGGCTAAATTTTAAATGGCTAGGGGTTGGGTAATAAATTTGATTCATTATCAGCTTACGCCTTTATGGCTTTATTATGGTTTTTGCAAGTTAAAAACTTGTTACACCCTCTTTTAAAATTAAAAAAAAAAATTTTCGAAAAATTTGATTATATCAACTCTGATTCATCATCAACTCGTTTTGGTCTCTATTAATTTTTTTACCTGTTAAGCGACGTGGTACACCCCCTGTAAAAATCGACTAAAAAGTATTTGTGAATGATAATATAAATACAAGCACTCTGTGTGCATATCATTATAAAAATTTATTTTTCGGTTCAGAGTTTTTATCAGATATGATGTACTCATTATAAAAATCAAAAAATGTAGTTCAAACTCATTAATTTTTGTTATTGAACAAGGCAACTTACTAAACACAACAGTCTTAAGATTAAATCTTATTTAATCTGAAATAACAAAGCAATTTTTTTTATCAATATTGCATAACTAAGAAGGAGACGACGTTTTCCATTCTAGTTAAAAATAGCAAATTTGAGTGAAAATAGCTAGATTGTAATATTTTCACAAAAAGGCATATTAGGCACACTTAGAAAAATCTATATCTTGCACGCCATTTTTTTACTCCTGGTTCCATTCTCTACCTCAAAAAATGTCTTCTTTGTTTTAGTAAAGAATACAGTTGTATATTTGTTACAGTTGTATATTTGGGCTGGTTATTCTAATGAAGCTCTTTCTATTTCTACAATCAAGCTTGAGCCTTTTATTTCGTAAGGTTGCATTTCTGTTTCTTCTCCAAAAAAACTACTTTAGTTACAACTCAAACGAGTAACCATAGCAATACCCTTTTTTTACACTTCTAACAAGGCTACAAGCAACCACTATAAGTTGGGAGTTTCTAAAAAACAAAGAAAAATGTTATAAAGCTAGGAAACGGTTGACGAAAGACTTGAAAGTTTGAAGGTTGAGAGAGTTATAAAGCATTGAAGTACATTAAAATAATTTTTAATCTACCTGCAGACTGAAGAGATAAAATAAAAATTAGCTGAAGTTCAGCTAATAATAGTATAAACAAGGAGGGGAAGGGGTTGATCAAAAGGGATATTTTATCCCGGGCCGATAATGTTTAAAGGTCGCCAAATAAAAAATGTTTCTTTTTTTTAAAAAAAAAGTCCTTCACTGATAATATTTTATTTTATTATTATTTATTTTATTATTAGCTTCATTTCAACCAGCAGAAAAGAAATATATCAAGCATGCTACCATTACTAAAAGTTGATAACATAAACATCAAAAACTACATCTTTTTTCATAAAACAGGTCAATCAATGTCTCTACCGTTGAAAATTCCAGAGTTGCTCATTAACAACATAACAATAAAACGGGAAAAATATCCAAAGAAGATCATAATGATCATATCATCAGAACCTTTTACAAGTTTTTAAAATCAATACATTAACAAGACTAAAAAATCACAATAAATGATATAAATTAGAAATCAAAATCAAACCACTAATGTTAAGTATATAATATAAAACGTGATATAAATTAGAAATCAAAATCAAACCACTAATGTTAAGTATATAATATAAAACGTGATATAAATTAGAAATCAAAATCAAACCACTAATGTTAAGTATATAATATAAAACGTGATATAAATTAGAAATCAAAATCAAACCACTAATGTTAAGTATATATATATATATATATATATATATATATATATATATATATATATATATATATATATATATATATATATATATATATATATATATATATGTATATATATATATATGTATATATATATATATATATATATATATATATATATATATATATATATATATATATATATATATATATATATATATATATATATATACAAAGTAAATACAGTAATACATATCTTTTAATAGGCAAAAGAAAATACAAGTCTTACAATTAAAAAGACCAATAAGTGGTTGTTATAAAAAGTATTTAAATATATCATCAATAGATAAAATAAAACTTTTAAGTTTACTTTTAAAGATCGGAAATGTATTGAATATATCAAAATAAGGTATAACAGTTTTATTTCAAAGATAAGGTGCTCGAAATGTAATGCAAAATTTGTATAATTTTGTTCTACAAATTGGTTTATATACAAAAATTTTATCTAAGTAAATATTTATTAATTGGGTTTAAAGAAAAAAGTTCTTTAAAGATAGGTAAAGTTAAATCGTTTTTCCACATGTAAATAAAGCATAAAATATTATAAACATTGAGCTCGTAAATATTAGGTATTTTTATCTCCATAAATTTATCTCCATATTTTTGGAATGAGTAAAACGATCCTCAAAATTAATCAATCGGATCGCATGCTTCTGACGGCGAAAAAAACATTTTAGCTTACTTTTTTCGGTCCTTCCCTACGCTATGTTGGCATGATTAATATAGTTGTGAATAAATGAGTAATAAAGTTCAGTTAAGGCTTTTTTGTTTAAATATGATCTAGATTTATATAAGACTCTGTTACTTTTAGATATTTTTGAGCAAATATAGTCTATATGCGGTTTCCATGTAATGTTCTTGTCGAGAACCACTCCTCAAAATTTAGTAACAAAATTTCTTTATATTTCAACTTTATTGATAAATAATTTGGGCAAACTTTGGGGTAAAGAGTGTTTTTTAGAGAGTGAATAGAAAAGGAATCCATTTGGTTTTATTAATGTTAAGAATTAACTTGTTACATTTAAACCAAGTAGATATGTTTTTAAGTTCATCATTCATTGTAGAAAAGAGTTTGGATATGTCATTATTAGTCAGGAATAAGTTGGTGTCGTCCGCAAACATGATACTCATTAAGTTTGAGGCTTTATTTAAGTCATTTATATAGATTAAGAACAAAAGTGGCCTCAAAATAGAACCTTGAGGAACACCACAGGAAATATTTAGTAGATGGCTTTGGTTATTAATAAAAACAAATTGTTTGCAGTTTGATAAGCCATTTTTTTCATAGTTATATAATTTAATCTGTAGTATTTTAGTTGTTCAAGCAGGTTTTCTAGTTACATTAGGTGTTTTTATTGACAAGTCAATAAAAACACCTAATGTAAATAGGATTTTTTGAAAGGAATTTGAGATTTCTCGCACAAATTGGATGATTGCATGTTTGGTGGAATTATTTTTTTTGAAACCAAATTGATTTATTATATAAAAGATTATTGGAGACAAGATAATTGTATACTCTATTGTACATAATACACTTTAAGATTTTTGAAAAGGTAGAAAGGATAGATATAGGGCGACAGTTACTGATATTGCAACAGTCTCCTTCTTTCAAAATTAGAATAAAAATTTGCAATTTTTGATCGATCAGGAAAAACTCCTTGGTGGACAGATGATTTATAAACTTTAAAAAGAATATCTTTGAGATGATTTGAAGACACTTTCGAATTCATCTAAAGATAACTCTGAGTATATTTATTTGGAACAGTTGCAATCATCCATTGGTACTAAGAAATCATCAAAGGCGACTGGGGTAAAGGGAACTTTATTAGCTAATTTAGGGCCAGTTTCAATAAAGTATTTATTAAATTCATTTGATAGAGCTTTTGATTCATGAATACATCTATTATAAACTATAATCATTTGGGGAAGGGAACCTTAGCATGTTTTTTGATTTCCAGTAATTTCTTTTATTACTTGCCAAGTGCGCTTAGAGTTATTTTTAAATTTGTCTAATATTCTTCGAACATTCGAACATTTGTTCGAATTTTTTCGAACAAATATTTATAATCTTTGTATATTTTTTCATTTTTAGATG